TCATTTATCGGCTCAATGGGCTCATATTGTTTCATATAAGGTTTTTTGCATGTGTGTGTTTTGAGGGCGAGGGGGACTTCATAAGTTTTTATAAATCTTCAATTTTTTAATGTTTTTTTGCTTTTTTCTGATTCTTTTTTTTTCCGGCTTAATAGACTCCGGCCAATAATATATCGGCTTAGTGGCCTATTGTTAATTCATTTTACGAGCGAATCAATTTTTTGTTTATGTGTTTTGAGGGCTAGGTGGATTTAAAAGTTTTTATAAGTCTTAGGTCTTTAAGAAATTTTTTCAGCTCAAAGGGTTTGTGCCTAAAGGTATGTTACCGCTTGGTAAATTTTTTCCCGAAGCTAATTTCACATTCTTTTGTCGGGGTATGTTTTTGTTTCAAAATAGCTTCATTCATTTTGATAGATCTAGTTTTTTCGAGTTTCGATTTTTTGTTTCGACTTGCGGCTTCGCCTCTGTGTGTTAATTATTTTTAAATGTCAATTAATTTATATAGGTCGTGTTGATTTTCGTTTTTTTTTTCAAATTTGAGTTTTTGCGGTTTGACTTTTTTTCTTTTTGCCTATCTATCTAGACTATATTTAAATGCGTGCTACAGCTATCTCCCATGTTTAAGCATAATAATTTTTGCATGTTTAACGAAAGAATTTTTTCACGTTTGAGCTATATCATATATTGCAATGCTTAAGAAAATTTTTCGATGAACTTTTCGCAAGGTCATTATTTTTTCAGCAATTTTTTTGAGGTCAAATTAAGTCTGTCTGTCTGTCTGTATACCTGCTTTTTCGTCTCTCTATTATATATTTAAATGTGGGCTTCACTATCTCGCCATGTTTAAGCTTTTTCAACGTATTATTTTAGCATGTTTAAAAAAGAGTTTTTGCACGTCCAAGCGTTATCATGTGTTGCAGTGGTTAAGAATTTTTTTCGATCTTCCAGTTTGAATTCAGTGGTCATTGTCGATCTTAGAGTGCGGTTGAACAAATTGAAAAGCTCTCAAGAAGGAAGGGCGCAAACTGGCCAGCGTTTCCAAAGTTTGGTATTGCAACAAACATCTTCTCAAGTGCAAGACTGAATTCACTGTCAGTTTTTTTGAGTTTTAAAAGCGAACATAGTAATTCCTCAAAATTGCTCTTTATTATGATTGAGAAAACGGTTAGGAATGAAAGTTTTTCCAATCGGAGACCAAATACAATTGCGTAAAATGAGCAGCAATCAAAATAGAAAGTCAAAACAAATTTGACTAACCAATAACAGCGTTCTTTTTTGTTTCTTAAATTGATTAGCTTTTTCATTATCTTTGTTTGCTTTATTTTTCTTTTTTAAGAAATGGAATTATCTTTAATTACATTTCTTGTTGAGCCACTTTAATTATTTTGTTCTTTCTTCATTTTTATGCAATCATTATTAAGTTTGATTAAAAGTGCAGCTCTGTTGCTATTCTAGAGTGCCTACTGTTCTCTAAGATAAGCTGATGATTTCAAACTTTTGCTCTAAAATGATGGAAAGAATTTGACGCAAAAGAGTGATGCGTGGTTAATGTTGCTTAAACATTGTTTATTGTTCCAACCATGGAAAATGGGGAGGAGCTTTGTATTCACGTATTTTAGAATTTTTTGTTCTGCATCAGGTAGCACAAATAATCATTAGAATAGTCTAATTTGGTCTAATTTCTAGCTAATAATGTCAGCATGCAGGCTTACAAAAGCTTATTTATGCTCAATTTAAGACGTAAAAACTTAGTTTAAGCAATTTTTTAAGCAATTTGAGCTAGTTTTTGAAGTTTTTGGGGCGATTTTGATAATCAATAATTTCAATTTCTGCTACGAAAATTAGAAAAAAAGTTACCATTTTCTTAGTAATTTTTCTACAAATTGTGTTTTCCAATAGGACTATTTTACGATGACTGTCGAATAAGCCTTTTTTTCGTCCTCTCTTTTTATCACATCACACAGAAAAAATGTCACGTACTTGAAAAAAAAAATCAGTTTTTAAGACTATTATTGGAACATTCGGTGCTATTTGTACAGTAACCGGCTATCCTTGTCCATATTAAATCATAGTTGCGAAATTACAAAGATAAATCGTGCTCAGTCAAAAAATACCCGAATTTGGTCTAAAAAGTCGAAACATAGTTTGAGACCTAGCTCGAGACACACCACTTTTAGGATAGCAAATGAAAATTCCAATTCAATTACTCCTGCTGATAACTGAACCGGACTTTTCATTTAAAAGTCTAAAAATGGGGAGTGTCACGACTTATGTCTTGTCTGCTTGGCCTATCTTTCGACTTTCTTGGCCAAAATCAGGTCTGTTTCGACTGTGCTCAACCTATATTTCTACTTTCACGACTATGCAGTATTATGAATAAAATGAAGGTAATTCTTGCGCCATTTGAAATTGGGGAGGAACTTTGCATTCGGGTATGTTTTTTTAAGTTTTTTTTAACCACAAGTATTCATCTGAATAGGTCAAGTGATGCATCATATAAATGCTTTTCAGTGATGATTCGAATACGTTTGAATTTTTCAAAAAGTTATCTCACCGACAAAAAAGACTGGTTTGAAGTTTTCGATTTTTTTTGTCTAATTTCGAGCAAATAGAGCGAGATAGAGCTCGCAAAGTTTTGTTTTTCTTGTCGTGTTTTTTTAAAAACTTCATATATGTCTACTTTACTGTTACCATCAAGTATGCTAAAGTTTTCGGCTTTCGTTCAGAGACTTTCATTGCGCCATGCATGCAAAAACGGTACTACTTTGAGAAAATTTTGTTTTGAAGTTTTGCTCAAGTATATGGTCGGAACATTCTGTTCTATTTGCACTGCACTGCAAACGAATAGCCTTCTTGTTGAGATGTTTACCAGACTGTTTTTGAACCAGTTTGAGTGGCCATTTTCTACGAGCAGCTGCTAAGTACGAAATTTGGAGCTTTGCCTAGTGTAGGTGGTTTTTTCATCTGCTTTGTCATCTGGAATGCTGGTTCGTAGTACTATATACCCTTGCGATTATCATTTTATTTAAATAGCGTATCAAATGTTGCTCATTTTTGCCCTTTTAACGCAGATGAATTGCATATGCTTGGTATCACGATTATTCAGGGCTCAAGTTCGGCCAGTATCTGTATTACTTTTGCAAATTGAACATTTCCTGCTTGGAATGTTTAATATTCTATAGTTGCTCCGCTTTTTCGTCGGCTGAGGTTGACCATTCTTTACTTTTTTTCTGATGAAAAGAATGCTGACAAAAGTTTTCAGCTTTTCGATTGACAGCTGTTTTGATTCAGGTAATTGGGCTGCTGAAATTTTTTGGTAAGAACTTCATGTTTTTGTTTACAAAGACAATCTTCAGCTTTAAATTTATTATAGCATGTTTTTCTATCGCAAATATGCGAAGCTCTGCCTTGCTTCAATATCAGTTTTTGGTTTTACTGGGACACGGATTTTTTCTCGATAATTTCTCCTTTGCTTAGCAAACTTATTAGTTGTGCATTGACTTTCTGATAGTTATTTTTTCTTATAGTTCGTTCAGTCACCTGTTACTAACAAAACTTACTGCAGGGGTTCAAGTTCAAGCTGAAGCATAGTAACGTCAAAAGTTTTATTATTAGCTTAAAAACTTAATTTGTACGGCACTAATTTGAAAAAAAAAATCTTTGTTATGAAGTTTTGCTTAAGAATATGGTAGGAACATTTTGTTTAATTTGCTCAGCACGGCAACCAGTTATCCTTGTTGTTTAAAGGTTTATTCAGATTTTTTGAAGCGGTTTGGGTGGCAATGTTTTTTACAAGCAGCTGCGTGGTACGAAAATTGGTGAATTGCCGTTTGTGGGTGGTTTTGTTATCTTCTTTGTCATCTGGAATGCTGATTCGTAGTGATATATACATACCCTTGCGATTATCAGTTTATTTAAATAGCAAATCAAGTTTTGACTATTTTTAGCGTTATAATGCAGTTGAATTGCATATGCTTGGTATCAGGGCTCAATTTCGGTCAGTATCTGTGTTTTTTTTTGCAAATTAAACAATTCCTTTATGGAAAAGTTTAATTGTCGGACTTTTGTTTTTCTGCTTACTATTGTCGGCTGAGATTTTACAGTTTTGACTTTTCTTCTGATTTAAGTATTTGAACAATAACTGTAAACTTTTTGATTGACAGCTGAAATGATTCAGGTCATTGAGCTGCTGAAATTTCTGGTAACATCTTCAGGCTTTTGTTTACAAAGACAGTCTTTATCTTTAAAGTTCTTGTTATCTTTAAATTTCTTGTTTTTCTACCATCGCAAATATGCGAAGCTCTGAGCTCTGTTTCGCCTCTTAATCAGTTTTTGAGTTTCTCTTAACTGACTGGACCCCTGTTAATTTGTTTGGAATAAGGATGAAGTATTGACACTGTTTCTGAAATATTTTTAACTCAAATTTCTCCAGAAATTTTTAGACAAATAACAGAAAGGAATCTGCGTTTTCTGCGTTTGGACATACCTACGACTGCAAGAGCAAACTGAAAGAGTTACTTTTTCACCTGCTGTCAAAACTACGGAAATCAAAAACTCGGTTTAAATAAAAAACATAAGAGCGTATAGTTTTTTGGAACAATATTATTTGTAAGATTTAGTTTGCGATAGTGAAAGGATGTTTTCTCCTTTTTTACTATCAGTAGATTTCTTTTTATGATCCGTTTATTGTTTTCTAGGTGACTTGGAGGGATGCTACAAGAAGGGTTGATTAACCCGTAAAGCATTCTGTAATATATTGATAACAGCGGAGGTAATAAACTCAAGTAAACTCAAAATGCCATCAATATAGACTCTGGTACACGAACTTTCAAGCAAACTATTAATTGGCAAACATTGTTGTCCGCGGTCAATCTAAAACACATAATCTGGTTAATGTCACTACTTCAATCTAAATAACCTTTACTGCAAGTTCATGAATCTTTAATGCCATGTTACCAAATATGGGAAAATGTATTTGAAAAATATTGTCATAACCGGAATGAGATGCCAATGAGATATATATATAATAATGTAAATTAAAACTTATATAAAAAGGAGCTGAAAATACGAACCGATCACTGGAGAAATCTGTTAATAGAGAGAGTAATCCAATCTTCAAAATCACAATTCTTCCATCATCGAGCCGCAATTCCGAAGCCATAACTGAGCTGGCCACATCCTAAATCTAAAAGTTTAAATAGGCTTAGTTATAGTCTACAGATATAACATGGTCATAGGTATAAATTTGTGATACCCAGAACAAAACACCAAATACTAATGTTTCTCAACCAATCTCTTTACTCAAATTGTTTTAATTCAAATTTATAATTTGATTACCAATCCGGTCGAGCGGAGACGATTGATGCAGTTCCGAAGACACCAGCAATCAGAGAAGGGGCGGCTTGTTGAAAAAAAAAACTAGAGGCAGCATCGCGCACAGAAGGCACTACAACTTTGTGGAACCAGTGGCTGATTTCAAGAGGGAAACGATGTGTTGTGGTTTCAGTCTCCACGCTTTTGATGTACGTGTTTTCACGCAAGAGGGTTTCGTAAATAAATGATCTTAAATTGATACTGGTGCTTTATGAATTCTTGATCCTGGTGCCTACTGGCTGATCCTTGCGATTGCAAATCATTTATTTTTCTCGATTTATGAGCTCTCAAAACAACTGTATATTGCTATCACAGTCTAACGAAAATTATGATAAGTCTTTGGAGCACATAAATAGAGACCCATTATGTATTAAATAACCACAACTATTGCCAATCACAGGTCTCAAAAACAATAGAACTAAGTTATAAAACTGCTCTAACTTTCATTAATCATCTGACTAGCACGAATTACGCGAAATACTCTATAATGCATCTTCAAGTTAAAACATAATAGTACTACAATGTAAGTTAATACATACTACTAGTTTAATGTCAATTGCTAGTACTTAAGTTACTAGTATCTAGAACACTGATCACCTAAACTATCAAAAGCCACGTTTTTAGTCAATTGTGTGAGAACGCGGTTTTTTTATCGCAAACTGTTAGATTTGAATAATTGGAATGACAAAAAAGGAACTGATTTAAATATTATCGCTATAAATTTGAGTTAATTAAAAACAAATCATACTGAAATTAATGATTATTCATATTACTGAAAATGCTGATTGTTAATTAAAAATTGAAATTTTTTGTAATCGAATCTGGCACAAATTTTCAAAACCTATATACTTTAAAAATGGCCCACCCTCATTCAAACGTCAGTATTCGAAAATTTAGCGGTCTTTCGTCTGAAAATTGAACAGAATTTGAATCTCAAATACGAAGAGTCGTAGACGTCGCGAATGTTAATAATAACCAACGTAGCGGATACTTGCAATTGCGCTTACAAACCCACGCTTTACAGTTTTTCTTGACCCTGCCACAAGTAGTTCAGCAGCATTTTGATAACGCTTTAGTAGCTCTTCGTGACCACTTTAACCAACATAGCGGATACTTCAACCAACACCTCATTGTGTTTTATCAGTTTTTTCAAAAGTTCTTGCCAAACTTGAACGAGAAAGTAATGCCATTTTATCTGCTTTTAAGAAAAGCCACAGAAAAAATAACAGGCGAAACACATGATAAAGTTTTAAAGACATTTACTTAAAAAACCACTTGTTTACAGCGACAAAATGACACTCAGTCTGGCAAAACCAGATCAACAGTATGTCATTCTCACAGATGCTAGTTTTCACCAAGCAGGATTTGTCTTAATGGTTGAATTTTATGTTAATAAAAATAACAAAACAAATTAAACAACAAAGTCGTGTGCACCCGTTCTTTTTGGCTGACAGTAGTTTACCCAGTCACGGTTGTTTAAACAGCCTGAGACCATTTTGCGCACTATGTTTGTGGGGCACAAAAACCTGTTTTAGTCCTCACTGATAACTTGAGCCTAATAAGATTTTTTGAAGCCAACAAGATACACCCATCATTATGGACTTTTGTTGATCGACTTCTCTCTTTCAACATTGTCGTAGGGCATATACCATGCAAGGTAAATGCAGCAACAGATTCTTATCACGAATGCATACTGATCCGGCACAATCAATTGTGCTAAAATTGACGGTCGAATTCCAACACGAGAAATTGAAGTTTCATCATTCGCAAAAACGCCAAATGCTTCTGTTTCATCAATTGTTGACAAAAACATGCATGAACACGAAAGAATTACTCCTGCTGCAATCATTCAAGCCATCGAAAAAACTGGAAATATGCATCTCGTTGATGAATCAACGAAACACACAAAAAAATCATGACAACACTGCCACACTTTTTGCCTATAAAATAATAAATGAAAATAAAATTCAAGCTATTGAAACAACAAACCCATTCGATTCTTTTAATGTCTCCTTAACAGGCATTTTGATTCTGCAAAATGAACAAGAAAAAGATACAACCCTCAACATTGTTTAAAAAATGGATAAAAGGTACACTTGTCTTTGATCCTACTTACGCTCGTATAAACAGAAAAAATATGCAGAACAGTTACCACGTCTAAAATTTGAAAACGATATCTTTTATCGTCATTTCTTTTCTGATACATTCAAGTCCTTTTTAATCAATTTTGTCTTCCTAAACATCTTCGACAAGAAGTTCTATACCGTATTGATAGCGCTACAACAGCTGGTCACATAGAAATTGTCCGCATCGCCGCTAAATTTCGTAAACGATTCTATTTCCCAGGGTTTACTGAATCTTTGCTTAATTATGTAGGCAACAGTTTGACATGTCTTTAAACAAAGGTTTCGCTCAATATTCGACTAACGCCGCCTTTAAAAGAATTATCTAGTCTTCAATCGTTTTCCGGCGATATGTTACAGATCGGTTTAGTCGGACCATTTTAGTCACCGGTATTTGCGTACGCACTAGCAGCTATTGATGTTCTTACGAAGTTTCTTTTTGCAATTTCTTTGAAAGGTTCTCATGCAAAAACAGCTGCTAAAGCTTAAGTATCGATATTTTTCAAGCACAGCAACTAACCAGAATCAATACTAGCAGATCTAGGAACCAATTTTACTGCCGAATTAATTCATGAACTAGCACAATTGTTGGAAATAAATCTGAAACACAACACATAAAGCATCCACAGAGTCTAGGACTTATTGAGCGATCACACGGAGCTTTAAAACGTATTTTGAAATTGAACACATCAGAACAGTGGATAGACTGGCATAAATATGCTGATTTAGCTTGCTATATCCACAACACTTCATGCTATTCTACAATAGGATGCAAACCTTCGCTATTTTTTCATGGTCAGGAGCCCATAAGACTTAAGATTCAAAAACACAACAATTCGAAAGTAAACACCAAATTTTGATTTCAATCGGGATCTTCAAGATGTAGTAAACCAGAGTTTTGCTGAAAACAAGCAAAATATAGTCACAAGTTATCATAAGAATAGAAGTTATTTTTATGAAAAAGCAAAAGCGTCATCGGTTAAACTTCACTCGTATGTTCTACTACTCAACCCGAAGCACAACAAAAAGCTCAATACCACCTTGGAATTGATTTCAAGCTTAAATGAAAATGATTGAACGTATTTAAGTTTTTTGTTTTACTCCAAGAAGTATATATTCATGCCTAAAGTTATAAAAGATCAAATAAACACAAATGCCTTAAGACTCAACAAAACAATTCTTTAAGCAGCTTTTGCGTACCGGAAACACAGGAATAGCTAAATTTCCCCTGCAAAAACAATACATAAATAACTCGACTCCGCAGGAAAAAAGCAATACTCGCCGGGCGAAACCAATGCACACTCACACTTTGGCAATCCTCGCGGGAAGCCACCCGAACGAATAAATTTTAATAGCTAGCGCGCAGAAGCCAGAGCCAAATACTGAGAAATAACTCCATTGAAAATAAAAAAAGACATAACTTGGCGTTTTTTAGTTTGCTCGAAGGTGAAACAGTTAAATTTTTTGCGCAATGTGTTAAATTCAAAATTAATTGCTTTCACTACAACGGAAAGCGGTACAAACGCCGCTCTAGGCCAATTAACATTAAATTTTTGATGAGATTTAATGAGTTCCGTAAATCGATATACAGAACTGCTGCCATAATTAGAACTCCAAGTCTTCAGAACACGTTTTGATTTTTTGCAATACTTTACGAACAGTTTTTCGAAATACACAACCACGGTTGAATATATATGGTTCAGCAAGATCTATTGCCAATAAATTACTCATTGTTGCAACAAGTATAAATCCGAGAGCATTCAGAACTGTTGTTGTCAACCTTTTCAGGCTCCAGATATACTTAATAACGTTTTCAGACATTGTTTTAAAATCTAAAACTTAATAATAAACAGAAACGCACAAATGTTTATCTTAAATTGCGCCTTGTATCTTAACATATTTTTTATTGCACCTCACTTAAAAAACAGAAAGAAAAATACAGCAAGAAGTAAATTTGAAGCTAAACACGGAACAGTTCTAGTTTATCAACCTCTACCTGATCAGAGACCTAACTTACAGAAGTTTGTATAGAACTATAGCCAGCAGCAGAATTGGCAAAATTACCAGTAGTATCATTGAACTCTCATCGTTTTTTGGTCTTTGCTCATTGGTCACAGGACAAGCACTGGCAATTTTTTCAGTGAAAGATAGAATGCCCTCTCTTGACCAGAAGAAAGTCCCCTTGGGACAGCCCAAAAGGCCCAAATTTGTCAATGTCAAATTGAAACACAATTGATTTGGACTAGAATACTCGAATAAAACTTAGCTCAAGTCTTTTTTTAAAAGTAAGTGCTGAAAAGAATACATAAAACTTGGATTTTAATGAACAAAAAAACTATACTTAAAACAAAACATCAAACAAAACTCATATACGTGTTAGAGTTCTGTCATCATTGATATTCTTAGCGTATCAAATCATCTAAAGTGAGTCACACTACAATTGTTTTACTGAAACTTTTCTATAAAATCAAAGCATGGGAATCCAATTTAGAAGCGATACATGACAGCGACGAAATGATGACAAATGGAATCATGTTCATTCGATAAACTACCATACTTATGGCCGAGAAGTTCATAAACGTCCAATTTTTGGTCCTTTTCCCATAGTTAAACTTGACAATCATAAACGAGTACAAACAATATTCAAAACATTTAGGCGAAATCTGGACTATGAAAAGCCTTTTTTGCGATCTCGACTTCTTTACGAACTTCATTAAAAACGACTCCTTCTTCAACGTAGAGTGGTTAGTACAACAGTTGGAGAATGAGAAAACCTTAGCCTAAGTCGAACTGAGCGATCTGCAGAGCGAAACAGAGGACTTCCTCAACCCAGAAAAAGGAACAGTTCAATGGACGGCCAGAACAAGCGTTGCCAGTAGCCGCCTTAGCCATGGCATCCATTGGACTTTTTGAGGAGGAGATCTCATGGGAGGAGGCAACAATTGTAGATTAGCTGGCTTTTTTGGAAGCTGTCAGGACAAGTCAAAGAAAAATGCTGAAAACATTTTACGACTCGCCGATTTTGTGGAAGAAGGCATAGCAGATGTCCACAGACTAAGAAAAGACACGAACGAAATGTTTTTCATGGTAAGCCGAGGCTTATCTGAACTGAAAAAGACTCAGGACGAAATCATTCAGATTCAAAATCAAAATTGGAAAACGGTAGAGGAACAGTTCAAGGTGTTCGAGAACCCAATATACATACTCCGAAACTGTGACCAACTTCTCTATTCTCGACAGCAGATAAACTTCAAATTTGATTGCTCATCACTCCTGGCATTGGCATATACAAATATCAAGACTTACAGATCAGCACTTTTTGCTTATAAACTGAACCTCATGACATCGATACCTATACTTGTAAAACGAGAATTGCGAATGTCACTAGTATCGAAAGAATCTCTGTCAACGATACTAAACATCGTAGCAAACGAACAAGTGAGTTCACAGGATAGATTGTCATTAGCAATCCCAACAACAGAAATACTGTCATACTATGAAGCTGAATTACTGAAGGATACAGTTGTGATTTGAGAAGCCCTTTTATTGACTTTAGTCATATCAATAGCCAGCCGTCAATCAGCCTTCACAGTCTTTCAAGCGTTTTCCGATTCCAATGCCTCAATCAGAACGAGATATTGTACTTCAATGGAAAACTGAAGCACCGTTCTTGTCCCTCTCAGAAAATGAAATGGAATCAACTCAAGTGATAAAATATCAATTGGACAAATGCATTGGATCCTCACGATACCAAATATGTCACGAAAATATGGCAACTCAGATGAGACACTCATCATGCCTATCGACATTGTATTTCAAAGGGACATTAGAAGCAATGAAAGGTTGTGAAACGGAAAAAGTTTTCCTGCCTATGAGAGAGCAGCCAGTTAATCTTGGATACGGCGATTGGCTATTATTATCATCCAACGAAGGTTATCCCTTGATCGAATCGTACATCCTCAAGTCCGAAAATACAGGAGTGCGCAAATGGAAAAGATGCCGAATCTGCATCATCACAATAAGCTGATGCCAACATTGATATGTTGAGACAAGTAAGAGAAAAATCAATCAACTACCAACATCACCAACACTTAAAGATTTAGAAGATATTGTAGTACCCATGGCCGACACAATGAAACAACTCAAACCTACTTTGTCCGACAGTTTGAAAGTTATCAACCACTAAAACAGTAATTAATGATAAGCATTTAATCATTCATAATTTCAACTGGACTCCATGTACTCTTCTTTGCATTGCATCAAATATATGCGTCAGAAAGAAGAATCGTACCACCTTTCTTGAAATCGGAGTCAGAAAAAAAATAAATTAAAACTGAAGACTGTCATGTTTTACTATGACACAAAAGGCGAAAAACCTCATCCCAAATCACCTGAACAAGACTGCTACTTCTGGCGAGCATAAATTCAGAAAACTGCTCGATGTAGCAAACATAGATTTCATCTCGGTTGATCATCATGAAATCCCCAAAAGTCGTCCTCAATCATTCGTTGTAATCAACTTATAAACTGTTGATGTAAATGATTTTTAAAATATCGAGCAGTAATTTTGAAACCTGGAAAGTGTGACTCACGTGGCTAACTTATTGCCTAATTTATCTCAAGCCTCGTTTTATGAAGTATGACACCATTCATCTTCTTCTACTACTACACCATCGAGCTTCAGCATGGCACGACTGCTGACAACCATCTTCAGAACAATCTACTTCAATTATGATGTTTTCCTCTGCTTCACGCTGGGGAAGCAAAAAGAAGCGTAGTGAAATATAATGATAACAGCGGAGATGATAAACTCAAGTAACTCAAAATGTCATCAACATAAACTCTGGTACACGAACTTTTAACCAAACTATTAATTGCCAAATATTGTTGTCCGCGTTCAATCTAAAACACATAATCTTGTTAATGTCACTACTTCAATCTAAATAACCTTTACTGCAAGTTCATGAATATTTTATGTCATGTGACCAAAATGAAAAAATGTTTTTGAAAATTAATGTCATAACCGGAATGAGATGCCAATGACTTTTAATAATGTAAAACGAAACTAGTATAAAAAGGAACCGAAAAATACGTATAGAGAAATCTGTTAATAGAGAGAGTAATTCAATCTTCAAAATCACAATTCTTCCTGCTTCGAGCCGCAAATCCAAAGCCATAATTGAGCTGGCTACATCCTACATCTGAAACTTTAGTTAGACTTAGTTATAGTCTACAGATATAACACATTCCTAATGTAGCGTTTGTAATTTAACTGATATAAAAAAATGTACCTAAAATGTTTGTCTGCATCGAAATTCAAGTTCATAGTAAAGAGAACTCCTAATTATTCTTTAGCTTGTCAAGGCATAGATTACACCCTTTGGATGATATCCATGGCTGGTGGAATTTCAAAAATTATGAAAATCGATTTTAGATTCGGCGTTCTTTTCTCTTTCAGACTATGTCTCTCGTTTTTTGGGCTGGGAATGAACTGTGGCGTCGTGTTCACTGTCAAGTTCGGCCGAGTCACTCAGAGGAAGAATGCGGCCAAGGTCATCTGCAGCATGTCTCTCTGCAACATATTCTACCTCTTATTCGTCATCATATTCGCTGTGCCCATGAGGTGAGAGTAAAACGCCTCGCTCATTTTTGAATCTACTTCTAGACCCGGCTTGATGTGTATAAGCTGAGGACAAGCCTACAAGATCCCACTTCGGTAACGGCTGGAGGGGTCCCAGTGGCTTTCTCCTTCTGAAGGTGGAACCGGCTACGGCGGGGAGGTTTTATTAAAATTTACCGGGTGTTAAAAAATAAGAGCGAGGCAACTATCCCCGTTTCGGGCTTTAATCAAAAATTATATGTAGATTTCAATCAGGGTAATTTTATCGATTCTGTCCAAAGAGATGGAAAAAATTGTATTGGTCCTTCATCTCTCGATCCTTAATCAACTAAACTGAACTCGTTTAGTTTTTTCAGTTGAAGATGAAAATTAATTCAACGTGTTAAAAAAAACGAATTTCTTGACGTGAACCCAATTTGCATTTTACTAGTTCCCGTATTTTTGCGAGCAGTTCTAAATGATTGAACTGGTATAATTTGTAGGGCTTTACCTATTTCCGTTTTTTGGTTTTTAACGATAAAAACCCACGCCAAAAGTCGGAACGTAATCATTTGAAAGTGAAATCATTTCATGTGGTTGTACTGATTTTTAAAAACCAACTTTTCTAGTTGAAATTTTATTTGCTCTTAACGGAGAGTTTCGATGGTAAAATCTGCAAGAGGGTATACCCGCTAAATCTTTAAACTAAACTTATTACTGAATAAGCTTCTGTTTGCTATTATATCGGACTTTAGTGGTCCGGGATATAAGCTCAATCATCTCTTTTCAACCCTGTGTGCACCGTAATAAAAGAAGCCGTTTCTCAAATTTTAATTCAAGTCTAAAGGAGGCGCCACTGAATTTTTAATAGGACAGATGACTGTTTAATCGCTCATTGTAAATCTAACCCGTAATCAAGAAGTCATCTTGAATTATTTTGTTGGGTAAGAGCAATAGTAGTAAGTGCAAGTTGTATTGGCTAATTTGATAATTTGAAGGACAAAAATATAAGATGTGAAGACATTTTTTCAGGTAGATTCTTGTGGTCAAAAATAATTGCAAAATTGGAAATATCCCTCCATCATTCTTTTAGCTGTCTGAATAAATATGACAATTAAGGAGTTATACTCATGAAATATATGTTCAACTTAATGGTTATACGAATGAAAATGCCTGTGCTTGGGCCTAAAATACAAGTCTCCTCCCTCATATTCCTGTTGAAAGTTTCCTTTGTTTTTTTTTGATAGACTGTTTACTTTTAAAATGTGAAAGTGTTCCCTTAGTTGGGTGCTTGTTCAGGTTTGGCCTCTCGGGGGACTGGAATTCTTTCTGCCTCATGTGTCACCTGGCCCAGGTGGGCAGCAATGCACCCAAGGCAGTCATCACAGCACACCACTTGGTCATTGCAGTCGACACCTTCTGGCTCATTAAAAAGGTAAAGTAAAAGCGTCACTGGGGAACACACAAAAAAGAAAGAAATGGTTAGAAACTAAGGAATTAGACAAAGAATCGATTACGTAGGGTGTCATTATTAGTAGATCTGTAGATCATTTTACAACTGCATGTAACTAGCTCATCTATTCGTGCTTAAGGTTGAAACAAGTAGTTCGTTGCGCTGAGGAGGAAAACGAAAAGTTTTAATGGAAGAGCGTGTCGAGCGCATGAAGTAATTGATGGGCGGGTTTTTGAAAATTTTTGGCGACTGCTTTGGAGACTTAAATCAAAAGAATCAATTTATTGAGCCCGTAATTCCTGATTAGATTATTGCAAAATGGAGCCAAATGTGTCTTTTGAAAAAATTAGGGTTGGTTCATCATAATGGATTTACTTAGAATTGTACCAGAGGGCAGTTCCTTCAACATTTTTGGCAATCAGAAGAAAGTAGTAGCAAAACTCTCTTTTCCTCGGCACTCCCTTGAGTAGATTACTTGATATATCTGTTCCAGACGTTTCATTCACCATCTTTTCTGTGATCATTTTGGACTCCGAAGTCCCCACGTAATTTCTTATTAAAATATTCTTGCACTCAAGGATGATGGATAATAAACATATTTCGTTTATTATCCTTTCGATTTGCAAGGGTGTTGCAATCACGTAAACAGCTTTAATCGCGCACTTGAAAATGTTACACGTGTTGCAACTTCATAAATAATTTAAATTCAACGTTCGAAATGACAAAGTCTTGTGGTTCGCATCCGGTCAGGACCTGTTTTTTTGCAAACTAGAAACTGTCTGGTTTTTTGGACTATCGTCCGTCTGTTTATTTTTGTTGACTTAATTCCCGTAGCCCGACCGAGTTTTTCTTGGAAGATTCAGCTTTCTTCAAAGTTTCTGATTGCCATTTCTAAAATTCCATTGTGTTGTGGAGCAAAAGGAGTTGTGGTTTTATTTAATGAAAAAAATTTTAATAAAGATTTTTCAGATGAAAAAGATTTTAGAAAAAAATATACTCCGTCGATTTCAGAATTGTTACACATGCGATTATTACACTTGCGAATGCAAATGTATTGTAATAGGTAGATAGATTTTTTTCTGTAAACAACTTTCACAAATTTTCAATTTGCTTTATTATTAAATCTTAACAACTTCCAGGTTCCTTCGCACTTGGATTAGAGGTAACGCCGTCGCCTTTGCACCATGAGCTCCTGGGTGCGTTTTTGGGTCCAATCGAATTTACAGGTTCCGTGAATTTTGTGTGCATGAGCGGCTACGCCCAAACAATTTTTACACAAAAAATACTGGTTCTCGGAAATATTATTTTTTTTTTGGTTTGTTGAGTATTTTTCGGACTTTTCTCTTTTTATCCTGCAATATCTAATATCATAGGTTTAATCGACTCAAGAGGTTGTTTCGAAACAAGAGATCTTATATAGCTACACCCAATTTCTTTTAGAAAGAAGTTATGACCTTCAAACAAGTCAAAGTTTTGAAACTTTGGCCATTTTTTGGAAACTTTTTGACTTAGCTCGAAAACTACCTTCCCAATTCTGAGGTGCAATCGAGAAAGTTTTCCAGTGTTTAATGGAGAAACCCGCTTTGATGAAGCTTTTTTACTTCAGCGACCCGACCTGATTTTTGCAAAAAAAGTTGTGGATTTCAGAAGTCAAGTTTTTGAATTTTTGACCATTATAAAGTTTTTGAGTTCTCTTAAAATGTACCCTATCAAATCTGAGATTAAAAATTTAATCCTAAGAACTGGTCGCGAGAATTTTTCCTGTAGAAGAAGTGATTTTTTAAGTGTTTTTTGAAGAAAAATGTTATGTCCCTGGGAAAATCCAACGTCTCAAAAGTTTTCACTTCTCACTTATTTTAGCAAAGAAACGTCTAAGGTTTTGAGCAGAGCCTTATTTTCAAAATGACGCATTTTGTCCCGCATTAGTGTAACATACAAAAAGTATCAAATCAGTACCTCCAGCTTTAGTTCTTTTTGAGACATACCAAAATTTTGGTTCACCTCGATTTTTAGACTAATGTTCGTTTTTATTGAAATCGTGTACCAGCTCTTTTTTCCGTGAGCAACTTTGTTCATAGAACTCTTATCATCTGGACTCATTTTGCTGGACACTAAACGCTACAGATACATTTTTGAACTATACGAAATTAATCTCTCCTAAAATTATCTGTTAATATTGGTTATAATTTGCCAACTCGATTTATGAAAATTTTTTTCTTTTTTGTTTTTCTTCTTTCTTTTTTGGCTTGGTTGGTTTCAGCCTATTTTCTATCGGCATTGTGGCCTCATAATGCTTTATATTGTTCGACGAGCGAAAAAGTTATTTTCGTGAGCATGTATGTGTTTTGAGTGTGAGTGGGATATTTTTTATATTTTTTTCTGCTTTTTATTTCGGCTTCAATGGTTTCGTTTTTTTTATATCGGCTTAGTGGCCTACTTTTGCGGAATTTGTTCAGCGATTATGTGTGTATGTGTGTGTTGAGGGCGAGGGGGACTTTTTTGTTGGTCGTGAATAAGTTTTTGTTGGTCTTCTTGAATTTTTGCGGCTTTTGTTTTTTTTTGTCTTTTTTGAGTTAATGTGTTTCGGCCTACATTATATCAGTTTAGTTGCGTCATTTTGCTTCATTCGACGAGTTGGTTGTGTTTGTGTATGTGTGTGTTATGAGGGCGAGGGTGACTGAACAGACCTAACTCATTAGTCCTAATTTATTTTTGATTTTTTTGGCTTTTCTTTGTTTTCTTTTTTTGGCTTAAGAGGTTTCGGCCGATATTATATCGGTTTAGTGGCCTCAAATTGTTCCATTTTATGCGCAAGTAGTAATTGTGCGCGTGTGTGTTTTTGGGTGAGGGGCGCTCATAGCATTTTTTAAATGTTTTTTTTTTGGTTGAAAGGGTTTCTGCTAAGGCATTTTCGGCTTTGTTTCCGATTGATAAGTTTTTTCTTACTTTTTTATACATTATTGCTTTGGGACGGTTTTGGTTCAAAACTAGTCTTATTTATTTTGATAGATCTAGTATTTCGACATTTTCTAGGATTTTTTTTCCGACTAAGCTGCCTTCTTGTTTTTGTATCGCAAGTGGTGCGAAGCTCCGCTTCACCTCTGTAAAATGCTAGCGATTAGAAATTGTCATCAAATCAGAACATTTTTCAGTTCGGACTTTTTTCTTTCAACTAACTTGTCCAACAGAATCACTGAATCATTTTCTCAAATCTGCACATTCGGCAGCCAGAAGACATATTTCGATCATGTCTGCATATCAAATATCCGTTCTGTGCAATCTTTTTTTGGGTTGGTTTTATTTTTATCAGACCACCGGCTCCTTATAATTTCCTTTGTTTCCTTTTTCTTGTTTTTTTGTTTACTCGGCATTTTGTTTTACAGCTCACATTGCGTCATTGGATGAGCGAAACAAGTTTCTTATGCGCATGAGTCTTTTGAATTGGGTATTTTTCATTTTGAAAAAGTAATTACGTTTTTATGAAAACATTTTTTTTTTACTCAAAGGTTGTCTGCTGAAAAATTGTCGGCTTTTTTTGGTAGATCTAGCTTTTCTCGACACTTCGAAGCAGCTTCCGTCTCAATTTATTTATACTTATTTGTCTTTTTTTGTTTGTACAGGATGTATGTTTTCCAAAAGAAAAAGTGTCTTTGTATTTAAATAACGGAATGAAAAAAGCAATCTAAGCAAATCATGGCCGAACATTGTGTTCAAGATTTTGCCATAAGCTTTCAGCAGGCTAGGATAACTATTATTATGTTTTAAGTATTTGATACGTGCATGTGCCGAAGTGAAATCGATTGTTGTCCATGGATTGGTTTAGTATGGAATGAGTAAGTACGAGGGTTCTTTAAAGATATTTTTTGAGCTCATTAGTTTTTGCTAATGCTGCTTTGTTTTTCTGTGACGCAAATAATGCACGCCGTTAAATTGGAATATTTTGCTTTCGAAAAATATCAAAACTGACATGAAGGAACTCATTAATTTTTCTTGTGGTTTTTATCCTTTGTGCTAAGAATTCAAGTGAATATTTATGCGGATGAATTGCAAGCGCAGGTTTTTGTTCTGGTGCTTGCTTTATAAGTGTTTTCAAGGGAACTTCAAGGTTGAGCGAAATTGAGCAATTATTTCAGTTGCACTGATTATCTGTCCGCTCACAGACAGCAAGTCATCAATAGATGAAAGTCTCCCTTGTTTCACGTGTTTTTAAATTGGCCTGGGATGTTTTTGCTCCGACCTCGTGACAAAGTTACTAGAGGTAACGATTAATTCGATGGTTTTCTGCCGATTTTAGGTATTCAAGGAAACGCAAGGGTCAATTGCGTTTTAAGCCGCGTGTGGTGTAATTCGGAATCAAATTCGGAAAAACTGGTCTGAATATCCGGTCACTTTTTTTAAAAGTAATGAACGTATTTTATTTTAACTTGTTATTAAAAAGTTCCGAAGTTTAACCCTTCGCTTCCTCTTCCCTCAAAAGTCAGTCAAACAAAATAAGCATTTTTTGATTTGTTTTTTTTTTGCTCTGCAAAATATGGTCGGAAAAGAAAAACCGATCGCTGTAAAAAGAGCATAGAATGTTCAGAGGCAAAAAATTTTAGAAAGTTTTGACCAAAAACTAGCGTTTTTTTGGCGCTTTCCCCTCTTCAAAATTAATATATATATATATTAGCGCCGATGGCGCCTTAAGAAAAGATTTTGGCCAAAAATAGATGTCATAAAATAATACCAAAGGGGGACCCTTTGGTTGGTGAGAGGGTCGAATCCCGGAGGGGGAGGGCTCCCGCCCCCCTAAATCCGCCCTCCTTGGATCATTTCAATGGTTTTGAGAACTCAATTTCAAGTTTGCTAGATTAAAGCACAGCGCAGAAATTTTTCGGCCTGTGAAAATGCAGTCTTGAAATTCTGATGACGTCTTTCAAGAAAACGCCAAAAGCTAGCAAGGAACATAGTATTCAACGCTACCATGACCTGTTGTTATTTCC